TCTAGGAGTATGTATTGGGAAACATCAGGGTGTTAGGTTTATTTTGTATACAGGGTGTTGAAATTTATTTTGTATACAGGGTGTTGGAGTTTATTTAGTATAGGGTGGTTTATTTCTTATACAGGCAGTTGAACTTTCGTCACCTAAGGTTCTCTAGACTAATCTGGCATGAAAAATACCCCTTACTATGGTCTGAATGTTTCTAAGCTAGAATCGTTGAAGTAAGATTAAATTATTCTAAACCAAAAATTTATAAATCATTTTTAAATCATTTTTAAAAAGAACGGGGAAAAATTCAATAAAACGCATGCAGGAAGTAGCTGAATTGCTCAGACAAAGTTGAACCAACTCTCTTGAACTTGAACCGGCGCACAAAAGAAGTGGCTCAACTTACCCCACGTAGTTTAACTACTTCTCGCAATTCAGGTTTAAATTATAAAAAAAGCTTGTAATAAAAAGATTGTATAATATCGGAGTATTGTGCATATAATGAAATATAATTATTTGATTATATTGTCTCGACTGTGTGCTTCAATGCATATCTAAGGTCATATTTTGTAAGTTTAAAGCACGAAAAAGAGAGGGTTGAAAACACAATACTGCCCTTATCCCTCGTTTTCCTTGTCCCTTCCCTTTCATTCCCCCGTTCCTTCCTTTTGATATTACCCCTCCCTTACCCTTGATTCCCCCTCCCCTTCCACTTGATTCGTAACAAAGTGTTACGTCGCACCACAGATTAGATATAAACAGATTCGATTCCCCCCCTTCCTTCCCTTGGACAACACCCTTCCCCTTGATTTCCCCCTTCCCTTGCCCTAAATCCCCCCTCTCCCTAACTCTTAATTTCCCTGTCCTATATTTTGTAAATTTACGGTTTGTATTACTGTAAACTATGATGCTGCGAAACCAAGGATAGATTTAGGACATCTCACAACATATGGCTGCACAGTAGATAGATAAATAGACAAATGTAGATAATTAGACAAATATAGATGAAAAGACATAAAAATTAGACAAACTTTTTGATCGATAAAATCAACAACGTCTGAAATTTATAAACAAATCATAAAAATTCGTTAAAAACATCAAAATTGTAAAAAAAACACAAAAAATCAATTTCATATACAAATAGATAAATAGATAAACAGATGTATAAATAGGTATAAAAATGGAAATATTAATCAATATAAAAATGTGACGTTGAAAACGGAAATTTATATATATATAGATTTATAAATAAACTAATATATATATGAAGAGATGTTTAAATGAATAACTAAATAGATAGATAAACATAGATCTTAATAAATAGTTAGAAAAATAGATGTCTGAGAAGATATATAAATAAATATATAAACAGATAGATACACATTTATGTAAATAGTTATCTAAGCAGATATAACTTTTATATGTAAATAGATATATAATAGATATATAAATAGATTTAGAAGCAGATAGAAACGTACACACACATCTGAGATTGTGGAATCGATCAATAATTTTGTTTAGTTTTTGATTGGGAAAAGGGAGTGAAAGTTTTCATTTTAATTTCCATAGTTTATGGGTATACCAGTCTAAGAACTCATTTTAAGGTGGAACAGGGACCTGATGAGAATTAGAGAATTTTAAGACATTGGAAACATTGGAGAAAAGGTTATGTACGTGTTATAAATAGAATCAGAGAAGAGAATCAGATTATTAATCAATCAAGAGTTTCGCGGATTATTCCTCAAAAACCAGAGCTGAAGAAAAATGCTGGAAAAACTCGTATGGTCAGATTGTTACAAAAAATATACATAATACAGTGTCGATATAGGGCATATCATTACTTGCCTCAAACTCTAATCCTCTACTCACTTTATCTTACCTTTGATATTTCTAACTAGGAATAATTCTGCTAAATCAAATAAATATATAAGGCTTAAATTATCCGGTTGCAAATATATAAGAATAAGTGATGGGAAAGTAAAGGAAATATTCGTTCTTATTTTTTTAAGAAATTAAAATTAGAATTCTCCAAATAGGATGGTTCCTTCAAACCCATTTCTAAAAGTATCTGGTCCCAGACAGGGCAGAATTTTAGAGCTCTCCCCCCCCCTTCATGGCCCCGCAGAATAAATTGTAACGCCATTTTTCCAGCAACACCATGGATGGCATTCATATAAAATGACATCTCGACATTATCAACAGAAAGAATTAAAAGTCATTCTTCTTTTAGCAACATTTTTGTTCATAGTTGAAATTTGATTGATGTGGGG